GGGAAGAAGATGAGAAGCTCAACCTGTGGGTTGGGTTTCTAAATCTTGAGAACATGTACGGTGACAGTGAGTCGTTAGACCAAGTTTTTAAAAGAGCTTTGCAGCAAAATGATCAATTTGAGATTTATACCAGATTGATTGACATATATGTCACCTCAAATAAGCCAGAAGTAAGTACTTATTAATTTATTTAATTTTCTGCCCCTCCCTCTTTCTTCCTACTCTTAGTCTGCTGATCAGTTGTACCAGATCATGTGTAAGAAGTTCAGTAGTAATATCCAGGTCTGGTCTCAATATGGCCGCTTCCTAATGGAGCAAGGCAAAGCTGATCTTGCGCGTAAAATATTACAAAGAAGTTTTAAGTCCCTCACAAAGAAACAGCGTAAGAGAAACATCAGCTGCTTCTATATTGTCACCGTGTGTCTTGTGGGGTTGTAGATGTTGATATTACTAAGCAGTTTGCTCAGCTTGAGTTCAAATATGGCGAGATGGAGAGAGGATGTACACTGTTTGAGAACCTAGTCTCATCCTATCCTCGTAAGGTTGATATCTGGTCTGTTTATATTGACATGTTAACAAAGAAAGGAGAAATGGACAGAGTGAGGTAATGGACACTAGTAATAGAAGTATTAGTCTACTCTCTCTTCTCCCTCTCTTCTCTCAGAGATGTGTTTGAACGTGCTGTTAGTTTGAAACTTTCTTCGGTAAAGAAACAGTTTTTATACAAGCGCTACATTGAATTTGAGAGAAAGCACGGGACACAATCCCTAGTGGAGACTGTACAAGCTAAATCTCAAGCACTTTTGTAAAAATAATTCTATAATAACATTCCCTTATTAATTAAATGGGCGTGCTCTAATAGACTAAGTGGGTGTGGTTTGTTGATTGTTTGCACACTATCAATCACAATGGCAGGTCTTGACTCTTACTGTAGAATACCTCCTGGAGGAACTGGTAATGAAAATAACGAGCCATTTCTCTTGTCTCTTAGAGAAGACGATGCCATCAGCACTCTGCATAGCTACGGGATACATAAAGTACCTCACTTAGGCAAGCAATGTCGTCCTTTCTATTCCATTATGTATTTTTGTTGTTTTGTTTCCATTGGCAGGAGTTTATGGTTCAAACTATGCTTTATCCCTTCCACTGGTTTTGCTCTCTCTCCCTCCAACATTCGAGTAATTATTAATTTCCATTAATTATTATTTAATTTATACCATGTACATGTAGTTTCCTGCAGTTCCTTCCTTACGACATTTTAAATTCGCTCGATTTGGTTCCTCCAATTAATGCCCACCT